TGGGCTACTGGCGCGTCAACGCGTAAGATCGTGCTCTCACGGTCGACGTCTACGCTTAGCTCTGGGATTTATTACATCGGTGTATACAACAGTGAATATGCTCGAGGATCGCTTGATTACCGACTCACTGTGAATGTTGCGGACGATTGCCAGACATCAACTCTCGTCTCTAGTTTCTACGCAGTGGTAATGGAGACCAACAAGACTTCATCGGACAGCAACAGTACCGAACTTGACGACGACGATAGCTTGGGCGTTTGCTTGAATGGAGGAGTGTGTAGTACGCTCTCGAGTGAATCATGTACGTGTTCTGATGGATACAGTGGTCATTATTGCTCTCTGCAGCCTACGCGGGTCGTGCTGTCCACGGCGTCTCTAGACGGTAACAGTTTATACGAAACTGCAGGCAATTTGACGCTAGCAGTCGGCGAGTGGGCATATTTCTCCTTCGAAGTAAACGATTCAGCAGCAAAAGCGGTCGAGTTCAGCTTGTTGATTCACAACGATATTGCGGAGGCTAAGACGCCTGTACGACCGCTGCTGCTTGTGCGTGGCCCAAGTGATGCAGGGTTCCCATCCCTAGCGTCAGCGTCTCTGCAAGACTTCGACGCTATTGCCCAACGGTTTAATAAACAAACTGTGGCTGTAGCTGTAACGACAGCTTGTTCATACGCAGCAACTGGGAGTGACTGCTTCAAGGTAGCTGTGCACAATCGAGTTGTGTCGGGGTCTTCACTTCGTTTCCAGCTTCAAGTTGCTGTGTATACGAAAACATCTGACGCTTTAACCGCTCCAGATTCATGTGAAGACACAACAAACTGCCATGGACACGGCCAATGTGTTGTAAAGGACGGTACTCATTCATGTCAGTGTGAGACAGGATGGTCAGGGGTCTCGTGTAACTCACCCAGAGGCTTCGAGCTGACGCAGCTCTGGAGTGCAATGGAAAACGTGACGATGCTGTGTTCATCTTGCAACGCCAGCTTCACGTTGACACGTGGCCAAGTCATGATGTTTCGCGTTCCTGAGCCTCTTCGTGTGGGCGTTGGTCTACGTTTGACGCTCCAATCAGCTGAAAAGGTGACGGGAGGTGTAACGCCTAGTGTGTACGTGAGTGAGGTTCTTCCCAGATCACTGTACGACTTCACGTATATATCTCTTGCCAGCGATGATCCCAGCACCAAGTCTCAAGCCGTCGATATCCCGAACTCGTCTTTCTCCGGGGATTTCTGGGTGGTTGTTCACACGGACTACCCATCGACTAATGGGACTACCCAGCTCACTGTCGCTTCCAGTACCTCTGCTCGACGGCGACGACTGCGTGGCAATGATGTCTCGTCGTTCCAGCTGGTGGCTGAACAGTACGAAACATCCGACGCAGACTCGTCCAGCTCTCTGCTTACAGATCAATCCTTTGGACGTGCGATCTTCTCGTGGGTATTCCGAAGCCCCGCTGGAATTGCTGTTTTTACGTTTGCAGTGACACTTCTCGTTATCGCACTGTGCTTTTGCGTGTATCGAGTGGCTCGTGCACCTGAGAATCAAGACAAAGTACTAGCGCGGCTATATCCACCGATAAGTGGACGTGGTGGTCGACCTACTCCTGGCAGTGCCAAGAGAGCTACTGGTGCCGTTGTGATGGATATTAACGATTTTAATGAACAACCACAGTGCAGCAAAGAGACGATCGAGCACCGTTCGGATACTTCGATCTTGGAAGGCTGACGAGTCAAGATATTCTAACGAAATAGATAAAATCCATGTCTTTTGAGAAGTTCATGGTGGCTTTCAGGGCTAAGCGAGAAGAATCGGCGCTGGATTACATGGACTACATGTTTCTCCTATTTTCCTAATTTTTCAATTTGTTAAGAGCAGCTAAGAACAGTGACCCTTCATCTGATTTTCACATGTCAGAGGACACGAGGTTCACTGGAGCTCCGAACACTCCAGGTGCAGCCTTGGTATGCCACCCGCGGCACTGTTTCTTTAGTGTTGTCTCGAGTTATCATCGTACTTGGACTCAAGAGAGCGTCAATTCAGATACTGACTGAAGATACAGGAACGGCGAACACTTCAAGTGATCCGAATAAACACGACCAGGTACACGTACGTATTGTTGTTGATAACAAAAATAATGATTTCCTTTGCTTGAAGGACCCCGTATAGAGTGCGTGCAAAGGCTGCATCATACGATATTGGTAATCTGCAGAATGAGTTCTTGCCTTTGGTCACCGTAAGATATCAGCATTCACAGTCCAAAATGATTTTTTTGTGACTTTATCGCCAGCATTGCCGATTGAATCTTCGTGCAAAATCGGAGGGTGGCAATAAGGAACCTAAGTGCAACAGCAAATAATGCCGTACTGTAGTGCACACGGCTAGCTGGTGACCTCGATTTGACTATCGTGGAGCCGTTGTAGGACACCTGACCTAAGTCCATGCGTGCGTTCATTATCGCTCAAAATGATGATATCACCTCACGTTGCAGCAGCCCAGTGGCACCGAACTTCTGTCCGTTAACAGGGGATGATGACACTTGAAGCCTACACATGGGACACTGCTGATAACCATGAGATTCTAAACCAAGTCACCACCACGATCTCGTTGCAGCCCACTTCAAGCTCACACCCATTGCATTGGATTGCTCACGAACTTAACTGTTCCCTTCAAGCGATCGGAACCCTTGCATTTCCTACTTTTGGCACGCGACAGCGGTCATTAGTTATTAATAACATGGCCGATCGGTAGCCGTTGCTACATGGATAATAAATGGTCAGCTCCCGTTCTGGGCCGAATGCGATTTTAACTTGATACTACATGTATAGTCTCTGATTTGACATCGTGCGGCGATTCACCCAACGACGGCACGATGATAGAGTATCCTCGTCAAAAGAAAGCGGGAAAAGCCTTGGCTTTAGCAGACTCGTACAAATTGGGCCGAAGCCCGTGACTTGAGTGGTCAGCATTTTGGGAATCCTGGCAGCTTTCATCTCGAATCGAGTGGCTTAGTATCCTCACTACGGCCAGCTGTGCAAGTCAAGTTTGAACCACCTGGAGGCAGAATACACCCCAAAACCAGGACACAACTTCACTCACTGAAGTTCACTGCACTGAAAACCCTGCAAACGCCCTGGAAGCTTCAATAACCGTTTTCCTTTGGCACCAGGCTGCTCAGTTCGCGTTCGAGCAACACGGCTCTGTCTCTATTCGCTGGTCACCTTCTACGAATAAAAGGGCCAGCACAGGACTGAAACTTTACATGCGCTGCGTTACCAGTTCAGCACTTTACTTTTTTGCAAACAAGGAAACTCGTCGGTAGTTTTTATTTTATTTTTTCTTCTTCGTCTAGTCAGGCAGAGAGAAGCGTCGGTCAATGGGTTTAAGTCGCCGGGCCAAAGCCGCCGAGTCGCCGGCCACAACGGCGTCGACGTCCTCGAGACTCTTGGCATTCTTCTCGCACAAGAAGCAGGACGGCCAAGTGGAGGAAGATAAACGGCCGCACCTCCGCATACGGGCCAAAAAGTCCAAAAACCGGACCAAACGCAGCAGGAGCAGGAGCTTCAGCGGAGAAGAAGAGAGCGACACCTTGGCCGGCTCGGCCAACGCGAAGCTGTATCCGCCGCCCAATGGTCGGGCCAATGTGCAACTGGCTGCTCGAGTCGCACGTGACAATTGTGCCGGCGTCTTCCCCCAGCGCTCGTCCCGCTCGTCGTCATTGCGCTACTCAACCAGGTCATCTGAGTCTTCGTCGTCGTCAAGATCCTCGGGGTCTTCGCTGCGGAGAGAACGCAGACAAAATTTAGCTTTAGTATTCGAACGGGATCACGACGCCCGCCGCAGATCGTCGTCCGACGTTTCGTCCGTGGATTCCGAGGCGCGGTCGCTAGCTTCACCATCGAACGCCGGTCAACGAGAAATGTGGCGCGAGAGCTCCGTGAACGAGTTTCTGAGCTGTTTCCCGCGAGATCTAATCGCAGACGTTCGAACCACGTGCCACGTCAAGAGCCCGAGGCGGTCGAAAGCCTACATGCGCGGCCTGATTGTGTCGTTGGAGTTTGAGATTCGAGGAACTAAGTGGGCCGCCTACTTTCTCCAGATCGTGCACAATGCTCGCAAGCAGAAGCGGATCTCGCTGCGGTCGGCCGTATCGGTCAAGTGGGCCATTTGTGCGCATGCGCAGGGTGAAGCTCTTGCTCGACAGGAGGAGCAGAAGCGGTCGGACATGACGCTGCAGCACAAAATGACAGAGTATCGCGTGGCCCTGCAGTGTGTGGCCGGCACAAGTGTCGTCAAGTTTGGCCGCAAGGGCAAGCCCCATGCCACGAACCTGTGCGTAGAGAACGGCGACACTTTGCGCTGGACTTCGAAGCTGCTTGCCAAGGCCACGCACATTGCTGTCGACGGCGTGGCGGCCACAACCACCATGGGCAAGAAGCGCGTCAAGGCCAAGAACGCCATCCCACTGGCCAGCATTCTACGAGTCACCTCAGGTCCTTCGACTAGTGTCCTGACCCGAGCATTGCACAAAGGAACGTTGCATCTGAACGACTCTGGCTGCACGTTGTCAGTGGTAACGCACACTCGCACGTTGGATCTCAAGGCCAAGACGGCCGAAGAAAGGGAATGGCTACAGCGCAGTCTGGAGTTCCTAGTAGATCTTGCTCGTGATCACGAGCGACGGGTGGCTCAGCAAGTGGAGCTGACAATTATGAAGCGCATGGAGAACTTACCTGTGTGGAAGTACGGCCGTAAGGGCAAACCGCACAAGACACGCGTCTTCGTAGATCGGTTCGGTGAGGTGTCGTGGCTCGGCCGCAGCGGAGACTCACTGCAGCTCGATGAGATCATTTCAGTGCATGAAGGCCACCGTACGCCTGTGTTTGCTAGAGCTCGAGCAGTTGGGTTGGTATCTTCAGCTAAGGGGGCTCACTGTTTCTCCCTAGTGACGTCGGTGCGGTCACTGGATATTGAGGCAGTGAACGAGCAACAACGCGACTGGTTTGTGGTGGCCTTCCGGTATCTACTGGACAAGGTGCACGAGAAGACTGCGGCCATGCAACGCGAGCGCGCTGAGAGACAACTTCGCATGCTGCAAGATCTCAGTCGCGAGGACGAAGATGATTACCTCAATGGGGACGGCGACGATATCTACTACGATGATCTCCCACCAGCACGACATGCATAAGTCTCCGTGCCTTCTAAACTAGTTGCGTACTTCCTGCCATGTGCCATGATTGAAGCATTCAAGATTTAATACAAACCAAAAAAGGTATTATATCCGTTTATCGCTCTTGTTCTTTCATCGCGGGGCAAACTGCAGCACATCTCGCTGCATCTTTAGCCACTCTTCCATTCGCAAACGCTCAAGAATTCGTGCATCAGCCAGACGCTGCTCCATAATCTGTGCTAGAGCACGTTGGTGAGCGCTTTCCAGCACGTGGAGCTGGCCATTGCTCAGTGTACTGAGATCCACTCCAGGAACTAAGTGGAAGGCACGCAGATCCACAGCGGAGGCTCGAGGTTCCGAGACCTCCAGGAAATGCTGCATGTCTTCCAAGGAATAATCAGCGTCATGGGCACCGGCATTGGTCGAGCTTGACATGGAGAGCCCCAACGACGCCGCTTGGGCCTGAGCAAGGCTGTTCCGGCTCATAGACTCCTTCGCAACCACTTCATGGCATCGAACGCACTTAAACACGGTCGAGTCAGCCGTCCGGAACGCCGAAGATTCCAGACACGAAGCACAGTACAGTTGTGTGCACGCTGAGGCTTTCTCACCAGACGCACCAGCGCTGCATTGTAGATTGTCATTCACAAGCTCGCCGCAGAGACCGCACGCCAAATACCCCAGCGTCTCGGCCACATTTTCGTTTCCGAGTCGCAGCTTGCTTACCCATCGCTCGCGAGCTTCACGTGCCACTTGGTGGTTGCCATTCGTACGTTGTTGTTTCCATGTTAGACGTCCGTAATGTACACCAGAGGACGATAACGATGAAGCAGCTACGGTATTCGGCGCCATTACTGGCGGTGAATCAAAGCTTGGCCGCCATGGCGACGTAGACGAAAACGAAAGCCCACTCGAAGTAGTCGAGACGGACGACTCTCTTGACGTATTACTTGATCCAGTTGCCAGTCCCACAGATCGGAAGGCCAGTGCGTTGGGGTTCAACAGTGACGACGACGCGATTGACCGTGGCGTACTGAAGTTACTAGACCTTTTCCATCGCTCCTCTTGAGGCCTGGTCCACGTGCGTGCAACGTTGGAAGACGAAGCTGTCGTCGTTGACGTCGCATTTATTCTACCAGTAGAATTGAGATAGTTACTTGATCTTTGGTTGAGTTTCGGGCGAGAAGTATGCGGGGTGCTTTTAGGAGAAGACGTCGTGGACTTTCGTTGAGTGGGAGTTGAAAGAGTCGTATCTTTCTGCGAGGTACCGGAAGCTTTCACTGAACCGTTGGTGATTGCACCTACAGGAGAGCGGTGCTTCTTGCCGACGGTAGTCCACGCACCAGCAGACGCCGTCGCGTCGATACCTTGAGTAGATTTCGCATCCGGTGCTGTATCTTCAACCTCGTCTTCACTGTCCTGGCCTGCAGACACCATCGAGTCTCGAACTAATAATTCTCGTTCCTCATCAGAGCTCGCAGATTCTTCCTCTTCCTTCACCACATTGGTGCTCTCTACTGTGGCCTCCCGATCGGGTTCAGCGGAAGGTTCTTCAATCACAGGTTCACGCTCTGTAGACAGACTTTCTTCCTGCTTCGTAGACTTACTTCTGATGAGATTAACATCCAATTCAGCCTCCTGTTGCTGTTGTTGCTTAGCTGCCTTGCGCTTTGCCTTTTTGTTTTTCTTCTTGCTCTTCTTGCTGCTTGACGTTGTACCTGTTCCCGACGCACCAGTAGCATTCTTGTCTGCCTCTTCCTCCATTTCCAACATTGCCATCATACGCGCCGCGGCTTCCTCTTCCAGCTGCCGCCAGATTCCACGTAGGTGCTCCACACACGGGCCGCTCTCACGCAGCTCCGAGTCCTGAGCTTCTTCAAGCGGAGTCTGTCCAATCGCATTCCGTAGCGTTATATCTGCTCCATATGCCATCAGCGTCTTCACACACTCCAAGTAGCCGCACGACGTTGCCAAGTGCATCGCTGTGCTGCCCTCTCGGTCCTGGAAGTTCACGAGCTTCCCGTTCTTCTCCAGCAACATGGCCACGATCTCTGCTCGTCCTTTATCACTCTCCTCATCTTGCTCTGGGTCTTCTCCGATCATCACCGCGCACAGCAATGTCGATGCACCGTACTGATTCAGCATGTTTACGTCTGCTCCGTGCTTCAGCAGCACCTTCACGGCCTCGGCCCGGCCCTCAATACACGCCCAGATCAGCGGCGTGTCTGCATTCACGTTCCAGCTATCCACCACGGCCGTATCACACTCACACAGAGCGGCTACGATTTCTGCGTCTCCGTTCTACACAGAACGTAGGTGTACACCACGAAAGTATTAGCAATAAAACACAGCTCTGCAGTGAGAAACAGGATCTACCTTCGCAGCAAAATGTAGAGCGGTAGAGCGCAATTCGTGAGTGCGAACGCCAACGTCGGCGCCGCGTCGTAGCAGCGCGCGCACCACGTCGCGGTGGCCTTCGGCCGCTGCGACCATAAGAGCCGTAAATCCGTCCACGTCCACATCGTTGACGCCCACGCGACCGCTGTCCAAAATCTCTTCAAGACACTCAAGGTCGCCCTCAGCCGCGCACTCGTAGAAGTTAATGGCCCACGTCTGGCCGTCGGCTAGGTCCACTGCGAACTCAGCAGTCGTCACCTCCTCTTCGTCCGAGTCAGCCGATTTATCTAAGGCGATTCTCATCGTAGTCAGCACTTCGGAGGAAACTCCTGGATCTGTTGAGCAAGAAGCCGCCGGTATAGACGTTGCGCACGCGAAGCTAGCTGCAGACGTTGCGACTGCGTCCGCATTAGTTGCCGCTGCCATTGACTTATTGATTTCGTTGCAGAATTGTGTGCAGGTGGTGTGGGCACGGAAATAGTAAACTAGATGAATGCAAATTTAAAAGAGGAAAAAAAAAGCAGAATACACTGGTATCTTTGCGTCTATAAGTTTTGCAGTACGGGATGAGCCAATCAATACATGGTCAGTATTCGCGAAAACGCGCGTGTTCAGAGGTCAACAAAAAATAGATAATAGTATGGGATTTAAGGTCGTCGAACAGTCAATTATTTATTTTAAACAATAAAAAAAGCAATTATCGATTCCCAAACTACTTCGCAGACCGATTCACAACTTCACTTACCGCCGGCTGGCCTTTAAAAAGTGCAGCATCTCCAAATGAAGCGGAAACATCCAAGTGCGATGATGCGAAAGCAGGTGCTTGACCTGAAAGAAGAACCTCTCCACGCAGTTCGACGTAGGGAGAATAAATGGCAGTAGAGGATAGCTAATACAACTCTGCGCTCCTCCTTTCACCTTTTAAAAGCCCTTTTGGCAAAGCTCATCGACGTGATGCACTCCGTCACGACCGTGCCAGGCGCGCTCGACTTTAATTGTCGTAGGAGTCGGCGCCGTCCGGCCGGGATTGTCGTGCTCTCACCCAGTAGCACCGAAACACAAGCAGTCTCAAACTCGAGGTCGTGCACTATGGCCGCATCAGCTCCAAGATAGTCGGCAAGACTTGGATACTGGCCGAATAGTGCGTCGAATAGATCGCGTACATCTACACCTCTGCCCGTCCAAACAGATAATAATTTCAAGCAAAGTGGACAATTTGGTTTTTGTAGTACACATTTTAACTTAAGCAAAAGTAATCAACAAACAAACAGAGAAAGATCTCATCCAAAGCGAGACAAGGAAAGGCGATGACTGGAATCGTTCGTGAAGAGGTGGTGAGGGTGCGTTGGCGCCAAAATGCGCGCGAAAACCTCGCCTGAACCAAAACATCGCCTGAAGCAGTTCACTTATCAAATCACCTCTTCAGACGAATGCCCTTCCGACCACTCCTCCGCAAGCACTCCCCAGTTGAAAAGCTCCGTGTCCTAGCTGCGCATCGCGCGGGGCGCGCTGACTGGCTTCAGGTGGCCGCCAATAACGGCATATCGCGCGTGATGGCATACCGCACTGTAGCCACAGGACGCGTAGAAGGCCTACCGCGCGGTGGAGCTCGTGGTAGCACTGTGAAGATGACACAAGAAGCAAAGTCCAAGCTGGAGGAATATCTTGACGACAATTGCATCTTCCCCCTGGAAGCTATGCGCACGATGCTCGTTTTAGATACGAACGTGCGGCTCTCCACCTCAACGATCAGCCGCCACTTGGTTGGCATGCTGTTCACCGTAAAACAGACACACATAGAGCACATGTCATGCAACAACGAGATCAACAAGACCAAGCGGCAGAAGTTCGCAAAATCGCTGAAGGACCATAAAAAGAACGGAGACTGTATAATTTATTTTGATGAGACTAGCTACAACGTATACTGTACGAATTCTAAAGTGTCATCGTTTAAGTCCATATTATCCTGGAGAGCCTACAAGAAAGGCCGGTACCAGAGCAATTCAGCTTCTTCCTTCTCCAGTTCCGTAAAACTTTGCTCCAGGTTGTGAGGTAGACTCGTTGTTTGCATCTTCTTCTGTCATTTGGCGTTAGCAAATGCTTGGATTTGCATGTTTCATTTGCGTTTATGTGGAATTGGCAGTAAGTCTGGAAATGTAGTTGCTGTTTAACGGGTGCACTATGTTAGAGGCTGGGCCGACAATTCTTATCTAGAGGACGGCACATCACCTTCACGATATGAGGTGATTATTCTCGACACGAGAATGAAGTAAAGAAACACTTCTTGACTTTTGATGAACGCCGCGGCTATACGTCAAACAGGGATCCGTCGCCTTGGGCTCCAAAAAAGGTGCTGTCGGGGCTCGCACACTTTATGAGAGTGTCTCCCTGCACAGTATTTAAAAGGGCCATTTCGGTGGGGACAAATCTTTTGGTTGTCTTCGGATGTGCATTTTGATCTTCGGATGTTCACCCGGATGCAGACCATCATTCCTAAAGCTAAATGGCTGTCAAAAGTCTCCCCCTCTCAGTCAAAAGAATCCCAGCGTTCCAAAAAGCAGCACGGGTCCGGCGTCTGCTGTATCGACGCCCGCCATGCCACGCCACCAGCTTCGTTACAGCGAAGGGGGTGACGAAGACCTAGCAAGCGTTGCGTCAAGATCAAACAGCGAGGCGAATCCCGCGACATTGCAGTTCGTTTAAACTCACGGAAGAAGAAGAAGAGATTAAGAAGGCATCCTACCGCCCGAGATCGAGCGGTAACCAAGCGAAGAAAGCAATTGCCTCATCGATTATCCTCGCGTCGCCACAACTCTTCTAGACGCAGAAATGAAGAATCATTGAACGTTCAGGATTCGTCAGTAGAATCCGAACACGAGAAGGGATCTCATTCTTCATTCGCATCAGACTCTGATGCGAGCAGCCAAAATTCGTCCGATTCGGAAGCAGAAGGATGCGACGGAGGTGACATCGCTCCTCAAGACGAATTAGTGGACGTACCGGATCTGGATGTGTCGGCGTTCGACAGCTGGGGCGCGTTGGAGTCGTATCTGAAGGCATACAGCAGGAAAACATTCCAGGTTTGTGCTGCTCAGACTGTGAAACAGTTTCTGAAATCGTACTAAATTCTTACTGAGATCGGATTTACACCATTCGAACAAACACTCCAGTGCGGACAAGAAACGCTAGAATGCAGAGAAATATGTCTGCTTTCAAGCTAGTCCCTGAGGAGTTTAAGTTCTACAATAAAACCTACGTATTTGTCCTTCTTTTCGTTGAGCTCCAGCTTTATGGAGTGCATGTCACTGGACTGGACAGTGAAAGCGGGATCAGACAAGCGATGGAATTCTTCCGGTACAGATACTAAGTTTATATTATCGTCAATGTAAGCATTTTTTGTAGTTATTTTTTGTCAATGATTCTTTGTAAAAAGAATGATATCGACCGGTGTGCATACATATGAAAGGCTTTACGAAGCAGGGAGTGACATTGCGGCGAGGCGAACACCGCGGTGAAGCCGCTTGAGTGGTGCTTAGACAAGTTAAAAAAGTCGAGTTGCCGCCACACTCACCGACAATCACTCTGGTTTTTTCATACGTTCTTGTACCCGAAAATGCACTTGTTTTGGTCGCTAACGTGCTAGCCTTTCCGACCACATGGATCAGCAATCTGCGCGAAGAGAACATAATATAGCCGAGACTGTGCATCGGCTGCACAGTCTAAATTTGAGACTGTGCAGGTAGTCTCTGCCCACACTTTATCGATCGAAGAGAGATAGGAGAGTATGTTTCTTGGGCTTAGAGTAAAGTGAGGGGTGATTCAAATCTTCAATTAGACATGCGTCTTCACGCTCGCGATGGTGAATCATAATGCTCTCCTTACGTGCTGTGTGACGAACCGCACGAAGTATGACAGTTGTTGTGGTGTCCTCTTTTCCAGCATCCTGTTCTCACACTAGAGGCAGGTATCGTGAGTTCTACTTGCAATTTTCATGCGAGATTGGTTCATCCAACCTACCGCCAATCTCGCCGACTTGTAAAAACGCATACCATATAAATCACCAGAGCTATAATGGGGTGTCACACCCAAGCCTAGTCGGCAACTTGCAGAAGAAGAGCAACAACAATTTGGCCGACAGCGCGGCCCAAGGCGGTAAAGGACGTGTTTTTTCAGCTAAAAGAGGCGGCCTGGAAGGCGCGCAACCGGTAGCGAGGTATGCTACGGGACAGTCTCCTTCGCATCTCCACACACCACCCTCTGCGCTGCTCCTAGACATCAGAACGGCACCACCATCAGGACGAAGGATGCCTCCATTAGGACGACCAAGGGCGCGCGTGTCGCCATACCCAGAGAGATGTCGAACACCTCCACAGCATGGCACGGCTCTAAGTAAACTTGTTCCGAGAATAGCAGAAAGGATTGGGTTGGATAAGAACGACTTTCAGGTCAGAGTACGTGTATTCTGTATTTGGCTTCGATACAAGTGTCAGGTCAGGACGATTTCTCAGAGTTTTAAGGCCGGTGTATAAGTACGTGAACGCGTACCGAGAGTTGCTCTGCTCTCAGCCGATCAAAAGGCAGAATTTTCAGAACAAGTTTCGGTTTTTTTCTACTTAGACCAGGGCCTAACGCAGCTGGCGATGAATGGCGTCTTTTTCTATTTTCACTCGTCATCAGTGAAGGTCAGTCTGGAGCGAGACGGGATGCGTTTGGCGAGCGAGAGTCAGCAAGGAGTATGTGTGCATTGAACAAGACGAAATTTTCTTTGTATGTCTTCCCTCAGCTTACGATCGGTATAGCTCCCCGACGTTTCGGTCATGCTAGCAAGTCCATTCTCGGCACGATGCTGACAAAGAAACTGGTGATGGGCATGCGCGTGGTTCGTTCAAGTGCGGAAGATGCTATGTCATGCGATGCTTGCCAGCTTCGTACGAAGCGGCGATGTGCATTCCCACCTGCTCCTCGGCGCGGTGTGCTGCAGTGCAATGTTGTAGTACATAGCGACATTTCTGGCCCGGTTGAGATAATATTATCATTATTAAATTTAACCATTTCACCGGCTTGAATGTCCGTCGCTAAACGGCAAGCGCTACGTGCTGCTGTTTGTGGACGCTACTGCCAAGTCTACCTTCTCAAACGATGAAGTGATTTTTACACTGCTTCGTGCACCACAGAGCTGCAGCTGATAATCATCACAGCCAGTGACTGCGTAAGTCTATCCGTGATAACGGTGGGGTGTACGTACCAGACTAGGTCAAGACTTTTTGCGAGTCGCACGGGATCTCCCGCCAGACGACAGTGGCTCAAACGCCGGAGCAAAATGGGCTGACAGAGGCTCGTTTTCGAGCTCTGTTTAGCAAGGTTCGGACTGTGTTAATTGACAGCATATCGCCAAAACAACTCTGGGCAGAGACGCTACGGATGGT